ACTTAAACTTGGGTCACCTATGACATTCTTCGTGAGGTAATTCCACTGGTGGAGTTCAAAAACTCCATATCCTTTCCAATTTAGATGCATGTTGAGGAAGAGAGTGTGGCAGGGCTCAGACAGGCAGCAATTCTGACTGACAAATAGGAGTTAACGGACGGTTACATAAACTCAGGAGAGTTGAAATCGGAAAGCTATCACAGACCAGGAAGTGATATAGGCAAGGTAAATAACTCTGAGGCAAGGTGGAGAGAAAATGGAAGCCAGACAGAGAAAGCAGAATTATCGCTAACTGTTAAAAGTAGATATCCAGAGTATCCCAGACCTGGAGTGTTGTGTGCAGTTTTGGCCGCTTTAACTTTGGAAGGATGTTCTGGCTGTGGAGGGAGTGCTTCATATGTTGACCAGCTGTTTCATGGGATGGCAGAATTGACGTACTAAGAGAGACTAGATTGCTTAGGACTATATTCGTTAGAGTTTAGGTGCATGAGGGGGGATCTCATAGAAACATATAAAATTCTAACAAGACTAGACAGAGTAAATGCAAGAAGGATATTCCCAATGACTGGGAGTCCTGGATGGCTGTTTCAGGATACAGGGCAGACAATTTAGGACTGAGATGAGGAGAAATTTATTCACCCAGACAGTGGTGAGCCTGTGGAATTCTCTGCCATAGAAAGCAGTTGAGGCCAAAACATTGAATGTTCTAAAGTAGTTAGATAGTGTTCTTAGGGCTAAAGGGATCAAAGAATATGGGGAGAAAGCAGGATTAGATTACTGAGTTGAATAATTACACATGATCACATTGAATGGTGGATTAGGCTCGAAGGGCTGAATGGCCTACTCCTATTCCTGTTTTCTATATTTCCATGTTTCTATTGCACGACAAATCTTGAAAACTCTCCCAGCAAAACATTTCTCACCTCCTGCATGGACCTTGGACAGCTCGGTCACCAATGTGGTGGTGCTATATTGCTATAAGTCTACCAAACAGACCACATTTGTACCTTTTCCACCCTAATTGTGAATTTCAAGTGGTATTCAATATGGAGGTGAACTGATTCATTGCTTGAGGGGGTACAGTAGATGGTAATCCACAGGAGTTTTTTTGCCCATGTTTGACCTGATGTTGTGAGACTTCATGGGTTCTGGAGCCAATGCTAAGGATCCTAGGACAAACTCCCTCCTGACTGTATACCACTATCCCGCCACCTCTGCTGGCTCTGTCATGTTGATGGAATAGGACGTGCCCTGGAATAGTGTGGTAGTGTCTGGAACATTGTCTGCAAGGCATGATCCTGTGAAAATGATTACATAAAGCTGTTGCTTGAAGACAGTGTGGGACACCTTTCCCAATTTTGCTACAAGCCCCCGTGTTAGGAAGAAGGATTTTGCAGTGTCGACAGGACTCTACATGCTGTTGTTATTTCCATTGCCTTGATCAATAGCAGATAGTCAGTCTGGTTTCACTTCTTTTATCATACATTGTAGTGGTTAGCAAACCTTTGTTGCTTGCTAGGCCATTTCAGAGGTCAGTTACAAGTCAACCACATTTCAGTAAATATTTAGTCATATGTAGACAAGAGCAGATGAGAATTGCAGACTATTCATCCTTAAAGGACAATAGTAAACAAGATGATTTCTATGACAGTTGACAAATGTTTTCCAGATTTATTAATTGAATCAGAATTTCAGTATAATTTCACCAAGGTGGGATTTGAACCCATGTTTCCAGAACCTTAGCATAGGTCTTCTAGATTACTAATTCATTGATCATAGGACTATGCATTTGTCTCTCCCAAATACTCTTTATAATCATCAAAGTGATGTAAGGCATTGTTGAGAGCACTATCAAATGGAACTTGCTCAGCAATGACCTGCTCACTGATGCTCGGTTCAGATGCCACTAGGTTCACTCAGCTCCTGACCTCAGTACAATCTTGATCCAAATATGAACAAAACAGCTGAACTCCAGAGATGCAGTAAGAGCATTGCCTTTAACATTAAGGCAGAATTTGGCCCAGTATAGCATTAAGCAACCCTGAAAAGCTGAAATCAATGTCCATCAGGAAAAAACTCTACACTGTTTGGAATCACATCAAGCACAAAAAGTAATGGTTGTGTTTGTTGGAGATGATTCATCTCAATTTTGGGTCATCACTTCAAAATTTTCCTTCAGGTAGTGTCCAAGGCTCAAACATCTTCGACTGTTGCATCAACAACTTCCTTCCATTGGTGGTGAGCAGTGAAAATAATCATACATGATTACATAATGTTCAGTACCATTTCATCTCCTCACACTCTGAAGCAGTCTTTGCCCACGTGTAGCAAGAGGTGGACAAAATTGAGGCTTGTCTGGCATGTAACATTCATGCCACACAATGACTATCTCTAACAAGGGGGAATCTAAGCATCTAGCCATGACATTTAACAACATAAATGTCACTGAATCCCTCGTTACCAATATTCTGAACAGCAAACATTGATGAGAAGTGGAACTGTACCAGCTATATAAATACTGTAGCTACAACAGCAGGTCAGAATCTGATCATTCTGTTGTGGGTAACTCACCTCCTAGATGAGTGCAACTTTACCAACACTCAAGAAGCTGGACATCATCAAGGCAAAGCAGCTAACATGACTGATGTCCATCCATGACATTTTACATTCATTTCCTCCACCACCGACGGACAGTAGCAGCAATGTGAGCAGGCACGGAGGACAGAAACACCCACTTCTGCACCAAAACAATTCTGTGATCTGCCAAATGCATTGGATCAACTCACCAAGGCTCTTTCGGCAGCACCTTTCAAGCTGCGACCTCTACCACAGAGAAGAGCAAGACAACAGATACGTAGGAACACCACGACCTGCAAGTCCGCCTCCAAACAAGTCCACATGGATTGGGACCTATATCACCAATTCTTCAGAGTCACGAGTTCAAAACTCTGCAATTCCCATCCTAACAGGACTGTGGGTGGCTCTGCACCCAAGGACAACAATGGTTCAAGAAGGCAGCTCACAGCTTCTTTCTCAAGGTCCCTTTACACCTATGTCTCAGGAATGAAGAAAAGAAGGTCTGGGTAGATGCATAGTACTGTTCAGTAGAGAGTTCCAAGATTTAATTCAACAATAATGAAGGACAAAATGATCTCAGTGAGGGCAGGAGAAGTCATGGGAGAGAACCTAAACATCAGGACAGTTATGGCTGGAAAATCTTAGAGAATGCGCAAGGAAAGGAGTTACCAGAGGCAGTTATCTTAGTCTTTCCGAAGAAAAAGTCAACACGTTCCTTATAGTCGTTGATGTTGGTGAGGATAGGGAAATAGCAGAGGGGAATTTGTGAAGACAGTTTACTGAAGAGAAACGATACTGAAGATCACTTTTACATTCCAGAATGATTCCAAATAGTTTTAACAGATGAGGGCAGAATTTTGCTTTCTGAGGTCCATCCACATCTGGTTCATTATTTTGAGGAAGTCTTTGGGTTCAGCGGGGTTAAGCTGAGGGTGAAGCTGGGAGGAGCCCTTCTCTGACAACAATTATGAGTGAATCAGAATATCCTTGAATTGAACATTAAGAAGATTTAGAGCAGTTTTACATTCTCCTTGACATTTCCAATGACTTCAACTATTTCCACAGCTGCTCACGAGGGTAAACAACATTGATATCCTGTTCATTTCAGAATTCAGTTTAAAAAGCTATCTCACGTCTCTTATGAGGATTATTTTTCTCCACCTCTATAATATTGCTTCTGCTCTTGTATCATTCCCACTTCTGCTAAAGCTTATGCCCAGGATTTTGGAACTTTTAATTGTGACTTCTCAGATTACTGAATGCATGGATGTTTTGGACTCACTTTGCAAAAACTCTAACTTTCTAAAACTCTGCTGTGTGCTAATTGTAATAAGTCCTATTCTCCAACCACTTCACCATCGTTGACTGTCTTAGGAGAGCAATCTAGCTTCTGAATCAAATCTGACCAGGTAACTGAGGTTCCTCGCCCTAGTACCATCTCAGTAAATTTCTTCTTCGTGTCTTGACATCCTTTTTAGAGTGTGGCACCCAGAACATTTCAGTAGCTTGCTTACTCTTGCTCTTTTTTTGTTTGTTATATCTGTTTATACAGCCAGGAACCTGGACGCCTTCTTAATCTGTGCTACTATTTGCAAATATTTTGTACATTTACTCTGAGATCTTTCTGTTGCACTAGCCATAAAATTGACAGCCCCATTGGTACCTGAGGCCAAGCCTGCCTCTCAAGCCTTGGCCTCTGCAACCATCAGCAAAATTACATGCACCAAATGCAGTCACACCATCCAAATGGATTGTTTGCACTTGTCCATCAATGTGTAGCTGAAGGCTTTTGTGATAGTGTCCTTTACCTCTGAGGTAGATATGTGTTCAGTTCTTCCCTCCTCCAAAGGTGTGTAACAACATCTCTGAACAGACTGATTCGAAATTATCTCAATTTTTAGCTGGAAGGGTGCAATGACAAATCGTTTATATCTTAAAATTTAATTCTATCTTGAATCATCAATTTCGTTGTAATAATGAATGCTAAATCTTTAAAGCAAGTTATCTCAACAAGTAATAATAATAATAATAGAGATGGTGCTGGAGAAACTCGGCAGGTCTGAGAGAGAATCAGAATTAATGTTTAAAGTGAAAAGAGTCTTGGTCAGAACTGAAGAAGTCATGTTGGATTCAAAAAGTTAACTGTTTCTCTCCCCGCAGATGCTGCTAGACCTGTTGAGTTTCTCCAGCTCTTTTTATTTAAGATATACAGTATTTTGCATTTATCATTAAACATTTTTTTATCATATGCAGGAACATAATAGAAAGGAGTGAGATTTCTGCAAAAATGTGTAACAGACAGACAACCCATCGAGGGCTTTTAAAAGTATGTTTTAGGAATGCAGCACCTCCAGTGAGGTGAGATCTTTAAATTCCATTTGTGTGATGCTCCTCATTGTGACTGCATGTGCTGCCTTTAAAGAGAGCGATTGCATTGGCGCTCCTTTGCAATGTACTGGAGGCTCGGCGTTCGACTTTTGGTGCTGGATGAGTAGCTGGCGCCGGAAGTGAGTGAGTGAGTGAGCGAGCGAGCGGCCGCGTAGCTTGACTTAGCCCGGCTCGGAGAGAGTGGCTGAGGCGGCGGCTGGCGATGGACCTCTTGCCGGCCAACCCGCACGGGAATGGCCTGCTGTACGCCGGCTTCAACCAGGACCATGGTGAGTACCCAGCCGGAGTCGCTGCCATGGCGGCGGCTGTTGTTGTTGTTGTTGACTGGGAGCCCGGGACGGCCGCCACTCCGAATCCCAGGCCTTGAGGCTGGAGAGGTGGGTAAAGGGGAGTTGAGTGAAGCGGTTGACCCTATCTGTCTCCTCTGCCCTGGTACTCTGGGCACCGACTGCGGTATCTTTTATCGACTTCTGGGAGGTTAAAAAGTAACCCGTATTGATGCTGGGAAATAAACAAGCTCCACGTGTTTTTAAATAGGGTTACTGCTGACTCTTTTTCTCTCGGTACAGCTGATTTATTCCAACCCATTTCTTGAGGGATGTGATTTTAAAATAGGCAGATCAAAAGACAAATGAAGAGGGGCTTGCAATTACAAGACCAAAAAGTACTCTTCGGGGGGGTGGTATCCAACAGACAAAATGCCAGTGTTTTGTTCATTCTGATCACGTTTTGGAAAAACCGTAGCAATCCCTTCTATAATTGAAGAGCCTCAGAAAGAGGGGTTGACCTGGGTACTGTTGGCTGATGGGCATCCCAGAACATAGGCAGACAGGCTAAGGTGGATGTGTGACAGATCTCCTGCCAGGAGTGGCTACAAGTGGATTTTAACATCTGTTCCATCACAGGGTGTGTGCTTTCCAAGTGTTACCCTCTCCCTTCCCCATGAATCTAAAGTTTATATTTGCAGTGTAAAGTGCTTGTGCCTGTCAGAAAATACAGCCTCCTGATGATTTGCTTCTGTTACCTTAGAGGTGGGGCACACTGATGAGGCTGACACACTAGGAAATGTTGCAAGTGACGTTTATGCTCTAAGTTGATGACTGACAATACTTTTTTTAAGTGATTTTATTCTAGGGAGATATATCAACATTGCAGTAACTAAAAATCAATAGGGTCTCATTGCAAGTGAGTGATCTGTAAAAATCTCAGGTTTGTGTTAAATATATTTTGACTCTTTCCCTGTGTTGTGTAATTGCTTGGATTCTAGAGGTTTATAATATTAGTAATAAAAGTAAACATTTTCTGTGGAATTGTAAAAAGAATTATAGGAGTTTGTTTATACTAAGATAGTAATACAGTATTTGCTTCAATAGCTCGGTATTACTTGGAATATTCATATGCATATGAACTGCCAAAAAACACACAAATGTAATCTTTATCTGATAACGGCTAGCTACTTTAATTTACATTACATGTCGAGTCTAGCGCTTTTATCAATGTGTGTACCAATGCTTTGCACCTGTGACTGACTAGTCGTAAATTCTGCTTAATAATCAATCACAAAGATAGGTGTAACAAATCTGGTGGCATTGTGCTTGTGACGCAGTGGTGATGTTCCTACATTTGAGCCAAGAGGGCTGGGTTCAAGTCCTACCTGCTCCAGCGGTAGCTAATAGTGTCTCTGAGTAGGTTGATTTGAAAATATCTATTCACTTATTCTAGACTCTGAGGACTCCTGGGTTCAAGACCATCTGCTCCAGAGGTGTGTTACAACTTTTCTGTGAGCCAATATAATTGAGCATTGTGTAGCTGCTTTTTTTCTGGTTGAATTTTATTTATCACCATAATAAATATTTTTCATTAGGCTATTCAGCCCTCCACTTGATCAATCTTTCACGCCTCTGAATGTCTCCTTTTGATTCAGTTTCACTTTTTATCAGACCTGGTATCTGAAACGCTTGAGACTTTTTCATATTAAAGATGCTATGTAGATGCAAATCCCTTTTTAATGTTGCAAAGGTGACTTACATCTCCTAAAGTACTTCAATGACTGCAGGGCTTTGGGACATCCTGAGGTTGTCAAAGACACTAATTAGTGCAGCTGTTACTGAGGGTTTCTCTGAATGCCTTTCAGTTGGAATGCAGATTTACTGTTCAGACTGTTCAACTATTTCTAAGGACTGCTTGGGTTCACCAAATATCCATGTCCTATTCACATCTTTCAAAGGAAGTAGGATGGCATAAATTCAAACTGACATTCTGCATTACACCAACAAGAAAACTTCCTTTATATGATTTACCTTTTTAAAGATAGTTATTTGGATTTTGCCGCCATTATTAATGCTCTTTCAACCATTTGAAAAGCTTGACTACCTGAAAACATCTATTGTATACTTTGTATTGACATTTTTCATAATAATCTGGTTGTCTTTAAGGCTCCACTTTGTTTCCTAGTTGTTTGGTAAAGGGTTGGATTGTTGGTGAAGAGTTGATTGCATCCTTACCGGGTGCTGTTGTAAATTGCTTAAATATTTTTATTGTTGTGCAGACTGCTGTGCATGATTTCACTCAGCTCCAGCAGCAACACAAATGGGAAATACGTCCTCATGGGTTCCTATTCCAGGTGTCGCATATTAGGTGACTTGTGCACCAAAGAAAATTGCCTATGGGTTTGTTTCTAAATAACAGCAGTTCAAAAATATGAAGTGTTGTAGTAACAGTTAATACTCAAGTAACAACATTCTGACAATGTTTGGACTGTGATAATTGATTCACATTTTTTCCTTAATCAGTATCTTTACTTGTGCATTTGCAGGCATGTCTATGTTTTAGTATTGCTGATGTCATTACTAGTGCAAAAAGTGACTCTTGTTGCTGCAGAGAGTATCTGTCCAAGGGTAGTCGACATCTATTGGTTTAAACTACACCGAGTCAGAGACTACTGTTTTGCTCCTGACTTGAATCCAGTATCAATGTAAAACAAAGCTATTTTATCCCATTTTGATAATTAGTCTAACCATTATTTACTTCCATTGTTGGTAGGAAGCATCTTGAATTTATAGAAATCTTGGTTCTTGGTATGTGCAATTATTTAGAACATAGAACTGTACGGCACGGGAACTGGTCCTTCGGCCCAAGATGTTCTGCCAAACATGATGCCAAATGAAACTGATCCCTCTCTCTGCCATTGGTCCGTATCCCTCCATTCCTTGCATATTCATATACTTATCTAAAAGTGCCTTAAATGCCCCTATTGTATCTGCTTCCACCACCACCGGATTTAACATAAAGATTCCAAGAATTTGAGTTAATACTGAGTTATGCGACAAGCTGTGCTATACCTGTGCTATGCAATGAGTTGGGTCATTTGTGCCATCCCCCCAATGGGTTTCCTTAAACATGCATTTTTAAAAAAAGTTACATGGTGTTGAGTCTGTGATTATACTTTAATAGTGATTTCTGGGTTCTGGTGATATTCTGTCTCAGTCACCTAGGCAGGGAAGATGATGATGAAGATCCATGGGGCCTAGTAGCAGCCTAATTAAAGGTTCCCTTCTCAGTCTGTATTTAAATGAATTCCTAAAATGTTTGCTGATGTCTGCGCAATTGCAGCATCAAACTAAGGGAAAGCTTATATTGTTTTACATTTGTAAAAGTTGATCCATGTCAAAAATAATTCCATCATTCAGTTATCTGCTTAAATTCCTGTAATGATTTTCTCTGCATCATACAACTTAGTGTTTGTTTCAGTGCAGGAAATTGATTGTTCACATTTTCAAACGTGTAACTCGTTTTGCACATGCTTACAATAAACTAACGTTGAACTTTTAATTTTAAAATCAAACTACACTTTCTTGAATGGGTGTTAAATTGAATATGAATGGTGAGAAGCAGGAAGGAGAGGTGGGAATGTAGATTTTATTTAATCACATGACCACTATTTATAACAATCTTCAGGTGTATTGATGCATGTAATCTACTATAAAACTCGATAAATTCCATTTTTTGTTTTTGAAAGTGAGCACCATCTTACCAACTTGAACAGGATACAGCCCAAGGAAACCAAAGTTCGAGGAATTTAAAATGCCAATCACGTAAAGAGCCCTGTAAATGGAATGTGAGTGTGGAAAGACAGAAGGATATCCATCAAATAGAATTTTTTGAACTGTTTTTCCAGTAAGCAACAGTATCAAGTGTCTGGGGCGGTTTCTTCCCCCATGCTGGTTGCTTGTGCTAATTTGTCGGAAGTGGCAGGTTGTTAACTTGAGTATTAAGTGAAGTGCAAGAATTTTCAATGGCTTTCACTTGGCCAGTGACTTCTGCAAAAGTTATTAGAACAGTTGCTAATTACAACAATGCAAATGTCAAAACAAAAATTACACTCGTTATCCATATTATTTGTTGTGTTTAAGGAATTTGTCTTTATATTTTAAAATATAGCAGAATAACTCCAGTAGTGAATTTTCCACAACATTTATGGTTGTTAGAATAATTACGTTTTTTTTTAATAGAAGAATGGTCAGTTACTGCGTCAAGTTCAGTTCTCTGTTATGTTCACTGTGGTGTATTTTGACTTGTCTTTCCTCGAGACATTGTGTGAATTTGCCATGGGAGGATTGGGGATGACTATGATTTAAGGTGTCAATCACCATTATAACCATTTCAGCAAATTTCACACCAACCACTTTCCGGTCTGTAGACTTTTAAAATTTAATTATGGTTTTGTTGTTTATCCTCCTGTGCTGCATGTCTGCTTATCTCAACATTGGATCAAAACTGACATGGATTTTTTTTTAGTATCTTGCAAAACTTCAATATTATTTCATTTCAATTCATTGCAGGTCTAACTTGGACCATGATTGGATTGATCTTGCAAGAACGACTGTAATAGATGGAGGATAATGCAGAGGAAATTGATAGATGTTAATTTACACATTATATGGGACCTTTTGCAGATTGTAAGCTGGCCTCAGATTCATAAACTTGGCTTGTATTCCCTTAAATTTGGATGATTAGTGCTGTCCTAGTCGGTTTCTCACCTTGCAACTTCTGTAAACTTGACCTTACGCAAAACTCTGCCTGTAATCTAACTCCGCCATGTGCTTTTCACCCATCAACCATACATTTCCTCTGTTCTGGCAACAGCTTGATTTATAAAATTCTCATCTTTTTGTTTTGGGTGCCTTGCACCCCCCAGTCTCTAGACTTTGGACTTTGCTGCAGCCCTACAACACTCCCAAATCTCTGTCAGCTCCTCTGTGTGGTTTGT